AAGCTTCAGGAATTATCAAAGTCGTGTCAGAATATACGTAGCCTGGTAGCAGGCGTTTGTTCTGCCACAGTGCTTCACTGCTGTACTTGCAGGCTAAAGGGTAGGATCCAGTAAACATTCGGGTCTTGACCTTGTGAGACTTAGCTGTTCGTTTTGGCTCTGGGACTGTTAACTTATTCTTGGACTTGCTGTTTTTAGTGCATTCCCTATTCTGTGTTGCTGAAGGACCTGGATATGAGGAATCTGAGGGAGCTGGAAGATCTGATTATAGAAGCGGTTTATACAGATATTATCCAAGGGAAGTTGGATCAACGAAACCAGGTGTTAGAGGTGGATTTTTGTATCGGCAGAGACATTCAGAAGAAGGACATCAGTAACATTGTCAAAACACTCCAGGAATGGTGAGGCTGTCTCTCTACCTTGCTTGTTCCTTGTATGTAGCTTGTCCTGTCTTGTTCTTATTCCTGTAAGTTTCAAGTGCTGGCTCAGTCTCACCATGTTCCATCAATAGAGCCTTGTGCTGTAAGTAGGCACTTGGAGGAGCAGTCTATTGGACAGATTTTCCAAGATGCCATCCAGGATTCTGTTTGTGTCATGCATCAAGTCAAGCTATACAAGGTCTTGAGATTCTGCCCTCACTGTGGATTTTACATGGCAGAACCCTAGAGAGGAATCAAAGACAGGCCAAACTGGGCTCATGGTCTTACGGTGGGAACTACTCCCATTTCTGCCGTTACACTTGATAACGGAGACAGAACTGTCCATTACTTACCAGACCTTTTCACTGTGGTGAGAACTGCATGGGTAAATTGTAGAGAATCACAGTTGTTTGGAGGGGATGTCTCTTCAAGTTTGATGTTTCAGATGCCTTTGTTTGCCTTCTCTTTGTTCCTGCAAATGCAGGCTGCATGCGAGCGTATTGGGACTGTGGTACTGTCTTTTTGTAGCTGTTCCAGGAAGCTGCTTCTCATCTTTTTGTAGGATTCCCTTTCCACCTAAAGAAATTCTCCTGTAGACTGTGGAGCCTGTAGCAGGTTCTGAGCTGACTGGGAATTGCTTCCTAGTCGCTATGGTAATAGGTGCTTGAAAAGTAATTAAACTGCTGGGCAAATATGCTGTCCTGAGGTGGGGGCAGTTTTTTTGATTCTCTACTCCAATTCCCTCAATCCCATCTCAGCGGGAGGGCTCTGGCAACTTCCAGGACCTTAGAGCATTGTTTGGAAGGTAACAATGAACCCACTGCCAGTTCTCTTTCTGTCCTCTCCAGTTGCAGGTTCTGTGTTGGAGAAGCACTCTTGTCTTCTGAACACTTAACAAGCAGAGGGATTATCTCAATCTGATTTTTTTGTTGTTTAATTTTAAATTTTTATTTACTTTTGAAAAACGCATTTCACTCCTGTTTAAGCAGCAATTCTGACTAAAAAGGAAGTTGAAAGTGCATTGAACCCACACTTACTTTTTTTTATGGGCAAGTAAGAGTAACGGGCTGTCTAAAGAATGCTGTGAAATATGTGGAGTAAACAGCGAAGCTTTTTATTGCCAGCTCTTTGGAACTCTGGTCTTTAAGCAGGAATTATAAATTTCATTAATCTCCTAAACTTTTAGGCGAGCACTACTTTTCAGATTGCCTAATTGAGCTGCTCCACAGAGAACTCGTAAGCGCTGTTTGACATGGTTTGTATCTTGCAGGTGCGATGGTTGTGAAGCGGTTCTTTTAGGAATTGAGCAGCAAGTACTTCGAGCCAACCAGTACAAAGAGAACCATCACCGAACTCAGCAGCAGGTAGAGATGGAGGTGGGTACGGAGTCGCTTCAGACCACTCTATGCTTTTTGATAAATGTTTGTGTACTGAAGAAAACACCTGTTAACACCTGGTTAATGGTCATGGTCTCTCTGAAGTAGGCTAACAATCATGCAAATCAGATGTGCTGGTTTAGGGTAGGAAGAAAACACATCTGCTTCTGTGTGCTAGTAACACCACAAGCATTAAATTTGCCCACTCTGAGCAGGTTGGAACTTTTCTTTATAAATTTTTATAAATTTAGGCTAGGTGGCTGCACTAGCTATGGTTTCCTCAATTGAATTGTTAGAAGTGTGCTTTTTAACACAGAATTTTGTTGCGATTGTGTTCCTTTTGTGCAAGGCAGGCAGGAAGGAAAAAACAATTCGCTTTGTTTCAAACCTGAAAGTGTAATTAACAAAAATATCTCGATTCTTGTTGCTTTTGCAAAAAGTGCCCTCAGCAGCTTCCTTCGGGGTCTTTCTCTTGGGATCACGCTGAACACCCGACAGGGCTCAGACATGCTCTCTAGAGCAGCGTGACCTGGGAGCGCTCCTGCCTCTGCTGTGCGTGCGGGTAGGCAGTAGATGGCAGCACGGGCGCGCGATTCCGGCCCCTGCTGATGTGTATTTACTCGTGAGAACAAATCTTGGCTGATGCAGCTGTAAAGGTGAAAATGGTCCTCCCGAGACACTTGCTCAGGGTTTATTTCTTGCAGAGTGTAGCATCCCTGCAGGTTTATGTTCGCTTTCTGAAGCAGCATATGCTTGGCGGCTTGGTTGGCATCCACAGCGCGTTTGGTTTGCCAGATGCCTTTGGCCTGGAGTTGGCACATCTGACTCCCAAACTTGTTTTGGCCTGTAGGTTTGTTTTAAGGCTTGCTCGTTGTATTTCTGGTGAGCCCTCCAGGGTTCCAGAGGACACAGTATGGTGCCTGGTGCTGTATCTCTCCTTTTCAGCCAGAGTAGCAGAAGCGCTACTGCTGCCTCCCATGAAACCAATTTCTGTTCCTGCTTCTAGCAAATATCTGTGGCTCAGACGGCCAGCTAGGCCAAATGGCATTTCTGCTTTTCAAGTGCTGTCCAAAGTGTAAGTTTGTTTCTTTCACAGCTTCCTTTGTCCTTTCTGCTTCTGGCCAACAGAATAGCAGGATGGCTGCCTTCTGCACCAAGGCAGTAGTAGGTCGCTCCAGCCAGCCAGAAAGGTGGTACAATATTGTGCTGTTGTCTCTTAGCGAAAAAAAAAAGTAGTCTCAAGTTATTCCATATTGAACCCAGACTGGAAATATTAACAGCTCTGGCTGTAAGTGAGGATGAAACATTACCTTTAATAAACTCAAGTGCAGAGCATGTTTCTGATGGGAGAGTTTATTTTATCTCCACTCTGTACTCCAGGGGTTTTTCAGTATGTTTATGAACAAAGTTTCTGCTGCAAGGGGAGGAAGAAGCAGGTGCTGATTCACTGTCTCTTCTTGGCCAGGTCACAAACATAAAGAAAACATTAAAAGCTACAGCCTCGTCGTCGGCACAGGAGATGGAACAGCAGCTGGTAGAGCGAGAGTGCCCTCCACACACAGAACAAAGGCAGCCCACAAAGAAGATGTCCAAAGTCAAAGGGCTGGTCTCTAGCCGTCACTAGAACATACCATCCAAATGTCATTCAGCTAGGAATGACAACAGGAGGAGCAAAAAAGAGCCTGCGTCTCCTTTTTCAGTGGGTTCTGGGCCAGTTCCCTTCCAGACTGGCAAATAAAAGCCCTGTTTGAATACAGCTCCCAGTTAGCAGCACCTGGCTAAGTTATGCTTTGCAGCCCCTATTAATTTTCAGGCTGTCCCTGTCCTGGTCCTGTAAAGAGAGACTTCTAAAGAGAGGGACTAACAAAAAGGGGCAGGGAAAAAAAAAAAAAGAATCTGTGGATAGTTTTGCTCCTTCCCAGCCAGTCTCATTGCTGCTTAACCATAAGGAAGCTGCTGTACTAAATCAGATCTTGGGAGAACTTCTGTAGCAAATGTCTGAATCCCAGGGCTGAAGTGTGGCTACCAAAGCCAGGCTGGGAGCGAGGAAGCCCTCAACACAGATCTTTTCATTCCCAAAGGGAGCGCAGAAAGGTTTCTAGGCCAGGAGCTACTGTACATTGAAGTCTTCAGCCTTTCCACTACCCCTGTCTATTTTAAACTGGGGTGAAATTCACACTACCTCGCTCTGTGAAGATGAGATCCAGTGCTGGGCTGTTTACTTAACTGTCTGTTTACTGCTTTTATTAAGCCCTTTAATCTCTCACAGATTTAAAGCACTGTTCCACATCTCTGAGGCATCAGTACAATAAGGAGGAAACAGACTGCTCTTCCAAACCTTCCTTCTCACAGGTGGCTAGGGGCATGCTAGAAACTGTTCCTTCTGAATGTGATACGACCTCCCAGAGCTTCTTATGAGTTGTTTCCCCCATTGATACCTTCAAAGGGTAATGCATTCGCTCTTCCTTGGATGCTAGTGACTGAGGTCGGCATGGGAGAAGAGCCCGTTTGGCATTGTGGCGGGCTAGTGGCCCAGGACCCACTGGCAGGGGTCGCAGCAGTATCCCCTTGCTGAAGCAATGGACTTGATTAGTCTTTCTGAATTTTGAACACGTTCAGGTTGTATTTTCCTCCCTTTTTTTGTACATTGTTGTGATTCTGAAGCATTTCAGCCTTTGTTTTTTGTTTTTTATTTGTTACAGACTAACTTCAGGTGATTTGCACCTAGTTTGGCAAGGTGTGGGTTTTTTTTTAAGGGGGAGGATGGGGTTGGCATTGAAACAGCAATTCACAGAAAAGCACATTTTAGAAAAAAAATTAAAAATGCTGATTTAATGTCAGAGTCTGGAGTCTTGGCTTTGAGGCTGCTTTTGGCTCATAGTCCAACAGCACTTCTTCACTTACGCATTTACTTGATTCTTGATGTTATGTTATCAGGAGGTCTGACTAATCTCCCTGATGCATCCGGGAGGCAGGGAAGTGCTCTTCCCGTTTTGTCAGTAGCTCTTCTTTGTCCAAATTTGTGCAGAAAGGACCTGTGGCAAAACCAGAAGCTGAGCCCGATATCCTGAGCTTAAACACCTTTGATACCCGATTGTGGAAGGTTTGCAGTTGTACTCTGTCTTAGGCCAGTTGATTTCTTCGTCTGGGTCTAATGGAGTACTGCTTTGTAGTGTGGCCCTTGCATTTCACTTCACTCCATGTTGTACAGAGAAGGGCTTTCCGTGAACAGGCAGGGGAGCTGTTCAAACAGAGGACCCTGACAACGCTCCAGTCCTGCAGCCAGCTGTCACCTGCACTTACTTGTGCAACGCATGTGCCTTCCTCTTACTGCTACCAGAATTCTTTGCCATCTGTGTGTTTTCAGTCTGCAGTCACAAGACTTGCTGTACACTTGTGAAAGTAAATTCCTCTCCTTTTCTTCTCCTGCAGTGCAGGCACACCAGCTTTTACTCTTGAGACGTGGATCTAAATACCTCCCATCCAGCTGCCTCTGTGTCAAGCCTCTTGGTTCTGATTCTTTGCCAGCTTGCTTTCCTCGTAGAAGTGCTAGCCAAAAAATTCCCAGTGAAGGGTGTTGAGTAAGCCCAGAGCACGAAGCCTTCCTTGTATCTCAAGGGAACTTTCTCAAACAGTGGCAGTACTAGTTTCTGTACTAGCTTCTCCCAGTGTTTAGCTGACAGCTTCTCAGGAGGTGCAGGTGGACTTTGTGTACCCAAGTATAATAGATCTATGTGATGGAGGTGGACTGAGTCTGTTTCTGGCTTCCTGTGTGGGCAGCTGCAGTGTACTGGTCATCCAGTCAAACGCTAGGTTTGACTAGGAGAGTTTCTCTTGTCCCCACCAGCTGTTTTCTTTCGTTCTCATTTTTAATATCAGTCCTGCAAAAAGGCAGGAGGAATACAAATGCCTTTGGAAATTGTTTTAGCTCCTCGGCAAGCCACAGTCTGCTGGGGAAATAGATGTGAATTTGGCATCTTTGGTGTTTATTCCCTGCCAGTTACAGGAGTCACTTTAGTTTGCTGAAGCTTCTTTAGTGTGTTGGAGGTTTTTGAGTTTGTTCTTAACGTTCTTGGTGTTCTCAAAGCCTGGCTGGGGGTGAAGATCTTATTTATGCTTCAGTACACGTTGCCTTTGATCAGAAAAGCAGCAAAGGAGAAAATAGAGCTTTGAATAAAGAGCTGTCCCATGCTTGATGGCGAGAGAGGATGGAGAAGGGAGTGGGGTATTGGAGGGAGCTGAGCTGTTTGCGTGTTTGGCTTTCCTGGTGTGCCAGTGATGCGCTTGGTGCCGCAAAAGGAGGGGGATGTCTCTGCAATGAGCCCAGTCTGAGATGAGTCATTAACAAATGACATGCACAGAGTACCTGGGGGAGGCAAACAGCTCTGCAGCAGCTGGTTAATGAATCTGGCTTGAAGGAAAGAGTTAGAAGCTATTCCAGGAATGAAGCAGAAGGCGTAGTTGTTAACAGGGAAGGATGCAGGAGGTGCCATGCTGTTTGAGAAGGACAACGGATAAAGACTGCATTGGCTCCCTGTGACTGCAGGGAGGACAGCAGCTCGGAGCAGAGTTGAATGAATTAGAGGCTGGTGGGAGCTGAATTGTGGATAGTTTTGAGTGGGGAGTGCCTGGGGAGCTTAATTGTGCTGTGGGGACAAGAGGGAGATGGAAGCAGAGGTGGATTTGATGCAAACTCTTGTGTATTGCAAGTGCCTGCTGGAGGCAGCTAACGCAGCTTGTCTGAGTGCTGCTGGGCACCGCTCCCTGATGTGGGGAGAGCGTCCTGCCCTACTTTGTTTTATGGCAGCAATGGGCTGCTCCAGCTGCAGCTCACGTCAAGATTGCAGCAGGACAGAGTTTGAGCTATTGAACTTCTGTTTGCCTCCTCCACCCGGAGGGAGACAAAGTAGATGGAGCTGCCTTCCCTCTGCTCTTCAGAGCTTTATTGTCTAGCTTCATGTTCTGCAGCTCCACTTGTACTAGTGCTTGTTTAATATGGAATTGAGCACTGAGCTGGAAAATGGAAGAGAGGATCTCAGCTGATTGCGGTGCTGGTACACTGCCCTAGCCCTAAAGCT